TTTATCTGTGCTGAATTCCATGTGTCGAAACCTCTTATCTGTACCAATGTGTGTACTCAGGTCCAGCCAGATTTGTAAGGTAGATTTGGGTCATGGTAGTTGGGGGGAGGAAGCATTCAGGAACTAGAGGAATGATGTATGTTTTGTCGGTGCTATACTGCACCCTGATTGAATTATCCCTTCCTTGTAATCCTTCTGTGGGGGGCTGTCCAATTGTCTGCAGATGGGCTTTGAGTCTCCACTCCAACCCCATTCATTCTCATCTACATAATTGTTTGTTTTGGATCTTTTGATGCCTGATACCTGGTCCTGTCAACACCTCATGATCATACGGGGTGTGTGCTTCTTCCATGTGGGCTTATTTGTTACCCTGCTAGGTGGTGGCATGTTTAACTTCAAGCCTTTAAAACCCCAGACAATATATCATTTGATAGCCAGGAACCATCCACTTTCTTCACCACATTTGCTTATGCATTCACTTTTTTCTTCAGTGATCGTGTCGGGAAGGTGAGTATCAAAGAATGCCAAGTTATTAGAACAAAGTGTCCTTGTGTTTAGGGAGGCCTTGAGTAGAGGCCCAAAGTCTGTCTGCTATCTTAATACTTAACATTTTTGTATATTGACCTCTATCCCTTTCATTATAAATTAATATATTTACATATATACATGTTTATAGCTATACCTCTATACATAGCTTTTGCCTTCTACTTCTTTCCTGCTTCCTTTCACCTTCCTCTTGTCCCACTATCATGTTTACCCTCCGCTCGGCTTTCAGTAATTCCTCTTGTATATATTGCACTTGCTCAAACCCTACCAAGCCTCCTCACCATCAATTTTAGATCTCTTGTTCCCTCATCCCTGAGTTTGTTGGCTCTGTTGCTGTTCTTGAGACTGTATACAGTGGAGCGTATTTCAATTCAGGAATGTTTCACCGTACAGGCAGGGACGTAGCTGCCTTCTTCATGTTGTGCAGCTGTTCTCACCTCCTCGCGCACAGTTTTCCTTCCTCATTCTCATAAACTCCCTGCCACCCATGCTTTTGATCTACTCCTTTGAGGTGCTATTTTCTGTTTGATCTCATCTAGACTGTTCTTTAGAAGAGCGCAGGGCTCAAGGCAGACATTCTCTCTTAGAGTAAGACAAACGGTTGATTGGTTTCAAGAAGACCTCAGGGGACACTCTTGGTTTAAGGTTTAGCCAAGAAAGCCTGTAACACGAAACAGACCCAAACAAACAAAAGCGGGGGTAGGGAAAGAAACTTGTATCAAAGAGAGACCTTGTAGGAAGCAGAAGAAAACTTCAGACGCAAAACTAACTACAATGAATATCCTCAGAGAAATAAGCGATGGTATTACATCCGCGGAAGAGTTCCTGGAAGTGGTAGTTAGTGGAGCTGTGGCCAAAGGCAGAGTAAGGTATGGTCATAATCAAGAGCAACTTAAAACGCTGTGACCAACAAATGAGACTGTAATGTAGGCAGTCGAGGGCCACAGAAAGAGGTGGGCGTGACCCATATAGATGTGTGTTCTAGAAGGAACTCTTTGGCACTGAGTAAGATGCAAGGAAGGGCCAAACCTGGAGCCATCGAAACTCCTTAGAAGAGTGGGATGCTGTTTGGAAAGAAAGACCAAAAGTTTGACCTGAAGCAGCCAAAAGTCATTGGGGGTGTTGAAACCCAGGATTTGAGAGATGCTCCAGAGATGGGTTGATTTTAATGACTGATGCACTAGGGTGGTGGAGGAGGGTGGACAAAAAGAGTCAGGCTTATGCCCAAGATGTCAAGCTTGGGTGACTGAGTGAATGGTGGTGCTGTCTATGGAGTTATGGACACAAATCTAATGGTCTTGGTGCAATAAGTGGATTTAAGGGAGAGAGTAGTAGTCTTCAGGTCTGTCTAGAAAGCACATCTCCCAGACATAGTAATATTACATATGAGTAATATTACTTAATGCTGATTTCTTTTTTTTCTTCTTTTTTTTTGTGAGTGAATGAGTGGTGAGTGAGTGGTGGGTGAGTGAGTGGTGAGTGAGTGAGTTGAGTGAGTGAATGAGTGAGTTCAATAAGTGAGTGAGTTGAGTAAGTGGTGAGTGAGTTGAGTGAGTTGAGTTGCTTAAGTGGTGAGTGGCGAGTGAGTGAATGAGTGAGTTCAATAAGCAAGTGAGTGAGGTGAGTGAGTTGATTAAGTGGTGAGTGAGTTGAGTGAGTTGATTGCATGGTAAGTGAGTGAGTGAGTCGATTTCTTATTTGGAAATGTTTTCTCTGTCACAAGCTGTCACTGAATAAAACAGTGCTGTGGTTAGTTCTTGGTTAAAATGACTGGCTCTAGATGTAATGCCCAAGGACCAACACCTTCCTAAGGCACACCTTTTCTGACTGTGGTTTTATTTTTGTAGTCTTAACTTTACATTAGAATTTTTTTTAACTTTACATTGTAGTTTGGTGAAAGTTACAGAGCAAATTCGGTTTTCCAGTCCACGGTCTGCACACATTGTGTTTCATGACATTGTTGCGATTCCTTCAGAGCAGCGGCATTCTCCCCACTTCCTCTCTGAGCTCCTCATTTCCTTCCCCCCTTCTTTCCAGAATTTTGAGGTTTTTTGGGGGTAAACCTGCAGCTTTGGTCTTGGATGGTTGATTGTACTAAGGGAACATTCCTCCCTGTGCTATTATTCATTATATAGGCCTGTCTCTTGTTTGGGTGCAAATCAAGGCTTTCTGCTCCTGTAAAGAGTTATAGGCAGGCACCATCTTCGTCTGGTTTCAGATAGTAAAGGCTGTGATTTACACAGTCCACTGGTCCTTTGGACTAAGTTTTTCTTTGAATCATTGATATCTTCACCCTTCCTTGAGACTAGGGGACACCAACAGTTTCATCTGAGATGGTGGCTCACTAAGACCCACATTGTTACTCACTAAAATAGGCTGTAGAACATTGTCTTTGTGGAGTACACGATTCCAATTGACCCAGATGTCCCTGGAGACTGTGGTCCAAAGTCCTTAAGACTTATTCCCTGTGTTTGGTTATGTCTAAAATGTTTTCAGAACATTGACCCTCTGTATACTCTACGATAACTTTGAATAAATTTGCAGTACATACAAATATATACATAGAAATATACTCTGGCAAACCTCTATGGACCCTTAAAGATGCTCCAATTTGCTTTCTCATACCTGTTTAACTTGTTTCTACTCAGAGGTTTATTACAATTATTGCAAAATTGTGTACATGACAGTACTACCCTTTGTTGTCTTTTACTCTTGTGCACCTTCCAGGGATTTCCTTTGCCATCGATCCCATGGTGTTGCCCTTTCCCTTATTATAGCCGGCCTTCCCCTTCCCCTAAATCACTTCTAGGGTTCTAAAAGGTGTTATTCTTCATGGCAACCTTCACTTTCCACCTAAACAACAGAAAAGCCTAGAAGGCATATCTAAGGTTCCATGTAGGAGAACTTTGAAAGGAAGGCTTAGTGGTCTTACTTTCACTACCATCAAGTCGATGCCAAGCCATTGTGACCCACGGTCCAGGGCAGAAGTACCCCAGTGGGCTCCCGAGACTGTATCTCTTGATGGGAATAGAAACTTCTGCTTCTCCTGTGGAACGGCTGGTGGCTTCAGACTGCCTTGGTTTCTCTAAGTCTGGACCTTGAGATGAGAATGGACGCGAGTAGTCTGCTCTGTGAAAGGAAGACCTTCCCAACAGGGAAACAGCCTATTGTAGTGCAGAGTGGAGGGTTTGGGATTCAGAAATGTCTAGATTTCCATCCTACTCAGGAGACGTGTGATCTTGGTTATATTATCTACTGTGTTTATGCCTCAGTTTCCTCACTTACACAAAGGGACAATGGACAATGATACCCGTTTCATGTAGTTATTGAGAAGGTTGGATGAAATGATGCATGTAAAAACACTGTGGTCATTGATTCTATTTTGCTTCCTCTGATAACAC